GTATTTAATCTCCCTGTAAGGTTTTATCCTGTCTCAACCTACATGTTTCCTCTGCTGATGGTGGAGCTGGAGTTAAACTCCCTCTACTGATTTCACGCAAAACTACACAAGGGCCATCTGCATTAGCCGTCCCTGAGTTAGCAGTGAAAGACTAGACGGAAGGCAGCTAGTCACCACAACCCACCACCAACTCTAGGGCTACTCTTCTACCAGCAAATTATGAGATTGGCCGTCACATTATAACGCCCCCACGGCTGAAAGGATGAGCATGTTTGGTGGGATGGAGATTCCCTGCTAGAGAAACTTTCACATCATCGAGTACCTTCATTTAGAGGAAAGAAAACCCATTTTGTGGTGGCTAGAGCGTTGCTATAGTTACATTTAATACATAGGTTATATTGTTCATTAAGAAGGTTAATAAAAACAGCGGTAAGATGTTTTGATGTGTTAAATAACATAATATATAAAACAAATACCTCCAAGTGAACACAATATGTTTGTATATTTCAAATGACGCGTCTGAAAAAACTACACATAAAGTGTAAAAAGTTAAAGTTAATATTATGCACACACAATACAGAAATATTATTTGAATTTAACTAACATTATAGATCTATAATGTGTAGGTTTTCAATGCTCATATTAAAGACATTTTCGAGTTAGGAAAAAGCAAGTATAAAAAATCCAAGGTTATAAACGTGTAATATAAACAAACATTCCTCTTAGATGTCACGTTTGTGGTTCTTGAGTATAACTAGTGACAAGTGTTATCTCAAGATCAGACTTTCTATAGACAGAATACTGAAAGAAGTTTAGAATATCTTGGATATAACTTTTATAATTCACATATATAATAGTATCTTGGTTTCAAGGGAGTAAACCAAGAGAAGGACCTGGTGAGGATACAAAACTCCATGGAGGAGCCACCTGAAATGTGAGGAAGTAAGAGTGTTGAAGAAGTAAAAATAAAGAAAAGATCAAGTAAATATCTTGTGTACACAGTTGGTCATTAAAACGACCAGTTCTATAACATCTCAGAAAGTTCTCTATTGTAGAAAATCTGATGGTTATAATATTAACCCTTTTATTGGTATGTTATATTCACGTTATTCCCGATAGAGTTAAATAAAGCTTTACTTCAGTTTAGTTTCTCAAAATTTCACTGTTACAGCTTTATTAGGACATGATGTAATTGATGTATGAAGTGGTTTCTCTTATAAAGTCTACATATATAAAAGATATATTATGTGACATATATTGTAAGACAAAAACTCTTTAGTATGCATTATAAATACTCAACTTCTAATAGGTTTAAACTCAAAGTTCAACCTTAAACATCAGTGTCTGTTTAGATATATTAACTTACACAATACATCTGTTAAAGTCCAGACTTAATAAAATAACAAAGTTGTTCAATAATGTAAGAGTACTTGATCAATGAGAACCCGGAATGTGTTATGTTTTATAATTTTTAGGGTTAAGAAACTTTTCTGAAAAGAATGGAATACTTTAAATAATTATCATTTTAGACTGTTTTTAAAAACATAACTAATTTTCACAGAAAGAACTACCAATAAGTTAACAGGTGAAAGTTACAGAACTGTATTTAAAAATAATAATTATTGGAATAATCAGTCTTTACATGCATCATAAGATCATGCAATGTTTTGATATGTTAAAAAATATGATAAATGAATTTGTGAGTTGCTCATAGAAATTAACATAGTTCTATATATTTTGTTATAAGACAATTGTTGACACTTCTATTAAAAATTCTTGCTGATCCTTGTATTATCAAGGATACATGTTTCATGCCATCTTATTTAATATAAATTACTTCAAAACTCCATATATTTTCTATGCTGACTTAATCCAATATATCGTTCAAGCTACTCACTAAGTTCTTCTCACCCTAGTTACTTTGTAAACCGGGTCATTCAATTAGGGTATCACGTGTGTGTTCCTGCTGAACATATTTCTGTAAGGAAAAACATACTGTATAGAAATAGTGAATATTTTACACTAGCAAGTCACGGATGTAATATCCCTTTTTGTAGTAAGAGTAATCATCAGTTACGTGGTAAGCAACTCCACCCAGAGTGTAATGACACTGCTGTTTTTTGGAAATAATGACGTATTTACTCAGTCTTCTTACATTTGTCACCATTTATGTTCGATCTGGTGTACCACTCCCTCATACTTTCTTCAACATGGTCGATCGCCTCTTTCACAGCTACATTATTCTTGCCGATGTCAACTTTAGTAGCAGAACTACATCTGAGGTTCAACGATTCCTCACCATGCTTAATGATACTTCTGGAACCATGATACCTCTTCCTGCTCCAAGCCGTCCTGTCTCCAACACTGCTCCAGATGTTTTTATTGTCTCTACCCAAGTTTTTTCCCTAATGTCAATTTCCTTACTTTGTCCTGCTGACAGTGATCATCTATCCATTGCTGATCGTTCCTCTCCTGTATCACCACCATACCGACGACTCAATTATCATTTCCATAAAGTCGACTGGAATGATTGCAGGAAGCATCTTCATTTTCTTCTTCCCGACCTTGACCCTACCACCGTTTCAAGTGTAGATGCCTTTGAACATACCTTGACATCAGATCTTTCCTCTGCAGGTGCTCGCTCAATCCCTTCTTTGCTGTCACCTACTTTCCATCCCTCCATACCCAAACAAGCCATCATACTTCTTTGCCGTGTTTCCTCACTCCTCCATGACTATCACCATTCTCATGATCCACTTGTTTTACACCAATCCAGAGGTCTCCAACACACGGACAGAAATTTCATTCAAGCTATCAAAAGTCGCCATTGGCATTACCTGTGCAACAGACTTCGTCATTCCCCTTTCTCCTCTCCGTTTCGCATCCTCACTGGTCAGTATCACTCCCCTTTCTATCCTATCCTTGTGGATGGTGAGGTTCCTGCTACTATGCTCCTCAAGGCCAGTGCTTTTGCACACCACTTTGAGTCGCAGTTTAATCCTCCACCACCACATCCTCCTTGACTTTGATGATTGTTCCTATTTCTCAGACTGTTGGCCTCTCTCTCACCCATGTTCTAAAAACCAACCCCCTGTGTGCTCCAATTACTTCTCAATATGTCATCGTCGCAACTCAGCCCTCAATCCATATGGTCTCACCTATTCCCATCTCTCTAATTCACCTGCTCAGTTTATTACCCTATTGGCATTATTCTACACCTTTCTACTTCGCACAGTTTTCTTCCCTACCACTTGGAAGTTATCAACCATAATTCTTTTCCTGAAACCAAAAAACAGGCAGAAAAGTGCAGTCGAAGCGCTTCTTAAAGTTACTAAACATAAGTTTGTTATATAATACAAATTCATAAAACATACTGATAATAACACAAATTAATAAAACAACTGATAATAATACAAATTAATAAAACATACTGGTAATAATACAAATTAATAAAACATACTGATAATAATACAAATTAATAAAACATTCTGATAATAATACAAATTAATGAAACATACTGATAATAATACAAATTAATCAAACACACTGATAATAATACAAATTAATAAAACATACTGATAATAATACAAATTAATGAAACATACTAATAATAATACAAGTTAATAAAATATACTGATAATAATATAAATTAATAAGACATACTGATAATAATACAAGTTATTAAAACATACTGATAATAATACAAATTAATGAAACATACTGATAATAATACAAATTAATGAAACATACTGATAATAATACAAATTAATAAAACATACTGATAATAATACAAGTTAATAAAATATACTGATAATAATACAAATTAATAAGACATACTGACAATAATACAAATTAATGAAACATACTGACAATAATACAAATTAATAAAACATACTGATAATAATACAAGTTAATGAAACGTACTGACAATAATACAAATTAATAAAACATACTGATAATAATACAAGTTAATAAAACATACTGACAATAATACAAATTAATAAAACATACTGACAATAATACAAATTAATAAAACATACTGACAATACAGTGAATATAGTAAAACCATTTTAGTATAGAAGTGTCCAGGTCGTTTACAAAGAACTCATTTATTCAAACTAAAACTGTCCAAATGTAACGTTTTTCTTAACACATAAACCACAAGTATATACCAGTTACTATTATGTGGACAAAGACATTCTAAACGTACAATTTTTTAGACATCAATATCAGTCACAAATGTATCGCTTTTAAATCAGTTTTTTTTAACATATAAATCAAGCAATCACTAGAACGTGTGACAATGTAACGGAGGACTTTGTTTTTACCGGTCACTCCATGAATAATAAGCCATTTGACACGTGATTGACCAACCAAAGGCTGACCCGTATACCTTGGCAACAGACTAGTCCAACAGTATGATCAGGGGTAGTTCAGAATATGTAGGAATTATAACTAATTTCACCAAAACCTAACGTTCTTCTTGACCATATAAACCACAAGTATGTAAACCTTACTATGTTATAGATAACGATATTATAAATTTATTACTTTTAGCATATTAATTCTAATTATATCACAAATGTAGCAATTTCAGTTAAAACATAATTATTAAAAAACAAAAACAACCAAGGTTTTACTACTAAAATTCATAGAAAAAACACATACAGCGGAATTTACATAAATATGGCTTTCTAATCATGTGATCCACCAGAGCTAAGCACTTTAAAATGCCTCCTAAATTTAGCATATACTATATGGACCACAGAAAACATCGAAAATGAAGTTAGGCGCTTAACTGAATGTTTCACTGACGTTAACCAGTTCCCTACTAAAGTAGTTATAGAAACTATTGATAAATTTAAAAAACACAAACAAGAGGCGTTTAACAAACAAACAAAGAAAACCTAATTACTTGCGTCATCCCATATTTAGAAAATATTAGCATACCGATATCAAAAATTTCGAAAAACTAGCACATAAATATATAACTTTAACATAACACCTAGATTCGTTTTCACCCCTGGAATAAAAATTAAACACATGATAAGAAAACATGAAACATTTACAAAATAAAGAATAACAGTTGTCCAACCTTTTACATAGGTGAAACAGGACGTAACAAAAAACCGTTCCCAAGTCCATGAGCATATGAGTAAAAACAAACACAGTTTTTCTGAACAGAACGTCACAGTACTAAAACACGAACCTGACACAAACAGAAGAAAAACTGCCTTTTCTCGTTCTTAGGTGGTAGAAAACAGATAACTAACCTCCATCTTGAAAATATTTGTTAATAATAATTATTATTATTGACTTGGTACAACATACCATTGTGAAATGTATTCTATTAGTGTATCAAATGTCTCGTGAGTCTGATTGCTGTAGTATTGGCGCCACAAGAACTCATCAAGGTAAGTGTGTTTGTGTGTTTTCTTATAACAAAGCCACATCGGGCTGTTCGAGGGGAATCGAACCCCTGATTTTAGCATTGTAAGTCCGAAGAATTACCGCTGTCTCACCGGGGGACCATCAAGGTAAGACAGCAATAGAGCATTATTCAATATGGTTAGTGTGCACTACTGTTACAGAGTCACGAAACCAATTTGTTGGTAAGTGTGGAGTCGTGTTATCGGTAATTTTGTAACATTATTGGGACCCGGATGACCAGGAATTGTCATTTTTTTCTTTAGCCATAAATTAATCATCTGTAAAATTCACGTGGGTCGATATTTACACGAATAAGTAGCTACAATCAATTTTAGAATTTAAATACATTGTTGGATTTTGAATGTTGAGTTAAATCCTAAAACGTTCTTCACTTGTGTACTTGATGATGATCGCACCAGTGATCCAAACGTCGTACCTGTTTTAAAAACTAAATTACTTACTGTAAAAGCTGTAAATTGTAATAAAATATACCTTATCAGTAAGTAAACTCAAGACGAAAGTATTATTATATCATAGGCAGGTAATGGACGCAGAAATAGACAGTAGATGGACAGTTAGAATGGTAACGATAAGAGGGCCTTTAGTCTTTATTTATATGTGTTAGTTACAATTTAATTATTAATTTTACATACCTGTGATTATCGCCACCTTTTGGTCAAGTTTCTTATTCTTAAGGTTCGGGGCTGCCATCCCGTAAATTTTACAAGTAATCTAAAAAGAAAAAAAAAACATCTTTATTTACAGGTCCACACAACTTCCGATTCTGCTTTCAAAGTTTCAGTTTGAAAAATAAACAAACACAAACAAAAACAGGCAAAGCCTTAGTTTTATTGCGTTAAATATAAACAATATTAAAACAATAACACTAGTCTAATGCTTATAGAGAGAATAAGCAATCCAAAAACTTATAAATACGTGTCTACATAAATAGAATATTTTTATGAAAAATATAAGCTGAGTTCCGTTCAATGATGTTTTCCTTTATATATGTATATATATATATCGTGATGCCACATTACTTCATATAGAATAATAAACTTACCAGATATTAATGGACTTCAGACTGTTTGTAGGTCTCTTTATCTTTACAGTCAGGCAAGTTGCTGATTCGTTAATCAGGTAAGCTGCTAGTTGCTGATTGGTTGGGAGGTGCAGTTTATCCTAGAGAGGGCTCTACAGGTTTGTTTGTTTTTGAAGTTAAGCACAAAACTACGCAATAGGCTATTTGTGCTCTGCCCATCACGGGTATCGAAACCCGGTTTCTAGCGTTGTAAGTCCGCAGACATACCGCTCTGCCACTGGGGGGCGAAGAGGGAGGGCGTTGAAAAGTTATTTAAAGATTGGTAAATAAAAGTAAGATGTCAAAGTTTTAACCTAAAATAGGCTTAGTACGTTTAACGGTACTTTAGGCCTAGGTATATTTATACTCACTGGTGAATTGTAAAACAGGAAAACACATTGTTTTATTAAATAAATACAATATAAAATTAGTTTATTGTCTCCTGGTGTTTAAAAAATTAACTTGTTTACTTGAACTTTGATCCGTTAGTTTAAATTCAACTTATAGAAATAGGTATATTATAATATA